TCAGACCCCTGACCACTCCCCTGAGCTAAAACCATCTCAACTCGCCTGGCCATATTGGCCGCATCCTGGAAAGAAATCTCGCTCCCTGTCTCCTTAGCCATCTGCAATCTGATAGGCTGAGCGAGTCCCTCAATAAACCTCCTCACCCTCTCTCCCTCGGTGGGGAGTATAAGAAGAGCATGACGAGCCAAATCAACAAACCTAGTCTCGTACTGAGTGACAGTCATAGAACCCTGCTGAAGATGCTCAAACCGCCTGCGATAGTCCTCTCTCTGAGTGATAGGAAGGAACTTCTCGAGAAATAGCTGAGAGAACTGATCCCAAGTCAAGTCAAGCAACCCAGCTGGTCTAGTCAACAAAAAATCATTCCACCATCTCTTGGCGGACCCTATCATCTGAAATACAACAAAGTCGACCCCATTAGTCTCTACTATCCCCATGTTCCACAACACCTCATGGCAGAGGTCAAGATATCCTGGGGGTCCTCAGAAGCTTCCCCACTGAAATGTACCGAGAAAAGCTTGGTTAACTTGTCCAACCGCAACAAAGCCTCAGAAGACATAGATAATCCACCAGCGGCCTAAGCCACAACAACTGGCTGAGCTACTCCCACTGGTTGAGCTGCTGGAGTCTGAAACTGAGGAGCCATCTGCTCCGGAGTGTGGGTAGTGGGAGTCTGGGCTCCTCCCCCAACCCGAGAGACGGCTGGTGCTACAGGAAATGTGCCAGTCTGAGCTACACTCTCCATAAGGCCCACTAGATGGACCAAAGCATCCTGAAGTACCGGGGTAGCGATGAACCCCTCTGGAACCTGAGCTGGCCTTGCCGGAACGGCCTAAGCCGGAACCTCATCATCAAACTCCACCTGAGGCTCCGCTACTGGTGCTGCTGCTCGAGCTCTAGGCTGAGCCCTGCCCCTGCCTCGACCTCTAGCAAGGCCTCGGCCTCGTCCTCTGCCCCTCGTAGGAGCTGCCACTAGGGGCTCGGGCTGCTAATCAGCGGATGAAGCAGTACGTGTTCTCGCCATCTCCGAAAGAACAGAGTAGAAGTTCAATTAGCATTGAGAAATCAAATCACATGACAGAGAAGAATAGATGTGAAGCTATTCCTAAACTCTTTAGCCTCTGGGGGATAAGCACAAACGTCTCCGTACCGATCCCTCAGACTCTACCTAGCTTGTTCGTAAATTGTGAGACCTAGGCAACCTAGTGCTCTGATACCAACTTGTCACGACCCTGATTTCCCACCGTCGGGATTGTGATGGGGCCTAACTCTTGAATGTTAGGCAAGCCAACAGATACAGTCTAACACACTAATCACTAACCAAAACAGTAATTAAAAATAATTTAAACTAAACAAATAAGAACTGCGGAAATTGTATAACAGTTTAAAACACTAATACACGACTACCCAAAGATCCGGTGTCACAATCCACAAATGTCTAAGAGTTCTACAAATACTGGTTTAAAAGAAATACATCTCTTCTTGAAATGAAAGAAAATAGGGAAACTAAGATAAAGGGAAGGGGACTCCAGGGTCTGCGAATGCCGGCAGATCTACCTTGGGTCTCCCGATGGACTGAAGGAAGCAACCCAACTCTGCTCAACGAGGTCCGGTACTGAAATCTGCACAGAAAGTGCAGAGTGCAGTATCAGTACAACCGACCCCATGTACTGGTAAGTGCCGAGCCTAACCTCGACGAAGTAGTGACGAGGCTAGGACGCGACAAATAACATGAACCTGTGCAGTTAAATCATATACGAGGAAATAACAATAACGGAAATCTAATAGATAATAAAGGGAAGGGGGAAAACATGCTAACGGGAATACCAAATTTTAAAAATAGTAAAGTACAGAAACATAATAAATATCATGCTTTGTACCAACAGAAATAATAACATAGCAACTTGTGCACGGCATCACCCTTCGTGCTTTTACTCTCGTCCTTACCATAAAAAAAATAACAGAAACGGCACGGCATCACCCTTCGTGCATTAACTCTCTCTCATAACACGGCACGACATCACCCTTCGTGCATTATCTATATCAGAATACGGCACGACATCACCCTTCGTGCATTAGCACTCATAGAATACGGCACGACATCACCCTTCGTGCCTTAACACTCACTCACAATATCTTGCATGGCATCACCCTTCGTGCAAGTCTTCCTCACCCAAACAACAGAAAAGAATAACAAACCACCAAGGTAATCCACAATAACCATTCTCGTTTCAACATTTAACTTCACAATATAAATCTCAACTTGAGTCAATACTCAACCAATATCCAATACCAGGAAAAAAAACATAATAAGACTTGTTTAACATGAAGAATAACCAGTTTAAGCATGAACAGTACGTATAAAGAAACACAACAGTCACAAATATAAAACTCATTCGCATGCTATGACCCGACAACAACGTATAGATACTCGTCACCTCACCTATACGTCGTACTCAACAACTAAACACATAGCAAATAAGATAACAATACCTAATCCCTCAAGCTAAGGTTAGCCACAACACTTACCTCGATTCCACGGCCAAACTCAAGCCTCAAATACCGCTTTTCCTCTAGATTCCACCTCCAATCCACTCGTATCTAGTCACAATTAACTCAATATCATCAATTATTGCTAAAGGAATCAACTATAATGCATAAATTTAATTTTCCCAAACTTTCCCCCAAAAAGTCAAAAACCGACCCTGGGCCCGCTTGATCAAAACTCGAGGTTCGGACCAAAACCCATTCACCCACGAGCGCAAATATGTAATTAGTTTCGGAATCCGACCCCAAATCGAGGTCTAAATTCCAATTATACAAAAATCTCTAATTCTACCCAAACCCGCAATTTCTACCATGAGAACCCTAGAATTTTGGATGAAAATTGATTTAATGCAATGTGTAATTGAAAAATGTGGTTTAGAATCATTTACCAACACTTTGGGGAAGAACTTGTCTCTTGAAAATTGCCTCTAAGCCTTCTTGTTTCTAAAATTATGAAATTATGGAAGACTCCTATTTTTTATTCTGTTTCAAAACACTGGACCGATCTTCTTCGCGTTCGCGAGAAACCTGTCGCGTTCGTGATGCATTGCGGCCAGAAGGACCTTCACGAAGAACAACTCAGAGATTCCCAGCCCACCTCCTTTTTACTCTACGCACTCGCGAGATGCCGGTCGCATTCGCGAAGAGCAGCCCCCCCCCCCCAGTGCTCCGCGTTCGCGATCATGGCTTCGCGTTCGCGATGAACAATCCCTCCCCAGCCCAGATTGCACTTCGCGTTTGCGAGAGTTGCCTCGCGATCGCGAAGCAAAAAAGATCAGTCATACCAGAAACAGCAACACAACAGATTTTCTAAGTCCAAAACATCCCGTAGCCTATCCGAAACTCACTCGAGCCCTCGGGGCTCCAAACCAAATATGCACACAAGTCTAAAAACATCATACGGACTTGCTCGTGCGATCAAATCGCCAAAATAACATCTAAAACAACGGAATTAACACCAAAATACATGAAATCCTTAAGAACACTTGAAATTCCTATTTTCACAACCGGACGTCCGAATCACGTCAAATCAGTCCTGTTTCTCACCAAATTTCACCGACATGACTTAAATACCATGTTAAGCCTGTACCAGGCTCCTGAACCAAAATACGGATCCGATACCAACAAGATCAAACATGTCAAAATTTGCTAATTAAAATGTTTTAAGGACTTCAATTTGAAAGAAAAAAGAGAACAAGATGAATATAATTTGGGAACAAAATATTGTGCGTTTAGCGAAGATCCCCCCCCCCCC